TTTTTTTAAATTTGTTTAAATGCTAATTACATTTTTTTGTTCTCATGTTTTCTTTAAAATATATTAATTTTATTATTTGGACTTAGGTGTGTCGATTTATTATAAGTTGAGATAATTTTATTTTGTAGGTAGTTAGACTATGTTTATCCGTGACCCTACTGTTGGGTCACGGAGAAAAGGCGACCCAGGTCACAATGTGACCTTGGGTCGCGACCCGGTTGTTGGTTAGGAATGAGACACTTCTCCAATTTTTATTGGACAAGTGTTTTTTTTTAAAAAAAATACTCAAAATTCATATTTTTTCATGCTCTACAAATAGATACCACATTTGATATATTTTGGAACACAATTATAATTTTTAAATAAATTAAATTAAATAAATATTTTAGGTTGGGTTGAGTTGGGGATAAAGATAATCTGAGTTGAAATGTTAGGTTAGGTAGGTGGAAGTGAGAAATATTTTTTAATTATTAGGTTGAGTTGAGTTGGGTTGTTGATAAAGATTGTCTTAAAATAAATAAAAAGAAAGGCAGTTAATATTTATTTCTAGGCCCCGACTAGGCGCCGCCTAGGCGCTCTAGGCGATAGGCGCTGGTCGAGCGCCGAGCGAGCGCCTAGCGACTTTTAGAATGCTGGTAGGACGAGCTTTTTTAAAAGCTCGAGCTTATCTCATAAGTTTCTTTATGTAACTTTTCAAATAAGCTAGTTGAATTTTATACTTCAGCTAGCTTATCACTAATTTTACCAATCACTTTTATCATATAACCTAGCTTTTCAACTATAAATCATAATTGTATAAGCTATAAACTCAAAAATTACATATAAACTATAAGCTAACTTATCAACTCAGCTAGCTTATTAAGGATATGTTTGGTAGTCAAATAAGTCAATTTATAACTTATTTTGTTAGCTTATAAGCCCCATGCATTCAAATAAACCTTGTTTGATAGGACGAGCTTTTTTAAAAAGCTCGAGTTTAATTGATAAGCTTCTTTAGGTAGCTTTTCAAATAAGCTAATTGAATTTTTTATTCCAGCTAGCTTATCAACTAATTTTACCAAATATTTTTATCATATAAGCTAGCTTTTCAACTATAAATTATAAGCTCGAAAGTTACTGATAAGCTATAAGCTAGCTTATCAGCTATCAATTATTTTATCAGCTAGTTTTATCAAACATAACATAACTAGTTTTACTAAACATAGTCCAAATCTTATCATTACTCAAAATTATATTTCAACTTTCAATACATTTAAAACATTTCTTTACATAATGTAATTCTTCTGCTTGATTCATTAAAAATAATAATAGTAATAATATAAAAAATCAAAGAAAACATATAAATAATAAAAAATATAATTTCAAATCGCATAAATATATAAATCATAGATCACATGCATCACACATGTCCATCATAAGTGTGCTAAAGAGAATAAATTCGACAGATATTTAGCTTCTATAATTACAAAGGTTTCCATAGCTTGGACGTCTAGGAATTTCATGTGCTGTAGAAGCACTACAATAAGCTCGATATAATGAAAGTCTAGTTTGTGAAGGCTGCTTGAGTAAGCTCCTTGAGAAACGCAACCACATCATCCGAGGAGTTGAGAAGATACCGCGCATTCGTACGAGTCCGGCCAACAGCGCACGAAAAATAGTTCTCCTTTTTCAGATCCAGTACATTCCAAGAAGTATTTTCGCTCGATGAGCGCTTACCATTACTAGTTGTCGATCTTTTGTCTGAGTTAGGACAGTGATTCTGATGGCTCTTTGTCTGATAAGCCTTTGAGTTGGTTCTTCCGGAAGGAAGCTTTGGGGATTGCCTTTTATCGACCGAGAGCTTAATTGCATCGGTTAACTTACTTCTTGATAGACCCAAGTTATCAGGTGGAAGCTCTGGTTCGAAAAACGTGTACACATCCTCATCCTAAAGCAAATTCAGAAAGGTTAGGAAATAATACAAGTAAACTTCAGTATTTTTTTGTTTTTTTTTTTCGAAACTATAGAATTTAAATAAACACATAAATACAACTAGAACACAACTAGTAAGCTTCAGTATTGGCATGAGAAAAATTTAGCTTTACCATGATAATATGTGTTTGATGGTATTGTTCTAAATCGTTTGTACATTTATAGTAAGATTAAATTTTTGCGATGTGAAGAGAGAAAATATATACCTTTCCTAGGAAGTGACCTATGCACAAGACATAATCTATTGGTGTGCATATGGCTTTACTATGAACGATCTCCCCTAATATACGGTCAATACCCGCTCCCTGGACACAAAGGCAAACAATGCATTGAGAAGATACGAGTAAATACGATAACAAGAGAATCGATAAAAACTTTGAATATTCTAAAACATTGACAAATTCAAGAGCAGTAGCTATCTATACCTTACTGACACCGACTGCTCGAACCTCGACCGAGCGGCTTCCTTGGACGACATCAACTGAAGAATTAGAAATTGGGCCAGTCCAGAGATGTTGCAGCATGTCTCTAGCTTGTAATCTTCCAAATTCAACGTCTTATACAAGAAGCAGAACAAGGACAAATGAAAATCGAGTGCAGAATAAATAATTAGGAGATAAAGGGAATAAATATAAATACTGAATTAGCAATGACATTATTACCGGCATACTTGTAGTTCCATACCAGTGAGGTCTCGCGACGCTCAAAATGTGATCTTGGGGTACGTTCAGTAAAATACTCGAAAACATGCTGAAATAGGTTTTTTTTAAGAAAAAAAATAAATAAATAAGTAATTTACATATAAAAAAAGGATTATGAGATGATATAAGTAAAACTCTCTTACTTTTACACTGTCGACCCATTCCATATTCAAGTGTTCTGGCATGGTTGTCATCCATTCTCCTTTAGTTGACCTTAGAAACATTCCATTCTCAGCTGCTAACCACATGTTGTAGTCCCCAAAGTTCTGCAAATTCAGTTCACCTATAAGTTGCACTTTAAAAAAAAAAAATATTGAAGGCCAAAGAAGTTAGGTAACAATTAACATACATCATCTAGGACACTTCTATCACTTCCACTAAGGACCACGATTGTTGTATTCGGGTCACTGCAAAGCATTGTTAGAGGTTCTCTCAGCTCAGGGTGCAATTTCAGTTCCATTTCTTTGATCTGATCTCCCCTTCTTCCCGGAGTTTCAATTGGTTCAGTCAGTGTAGCATTAAAACCCTGCATTATGAATGTATGACAAAAAAACAGGCATGAAGATTAATTGTATTATTCTTACTGCATAACTATACAGTGAAAACACAAGGAGAAGTTTGTTATTACATATATTAAATTTCTTATCATGATGCTCAAGGTTTCTGAATCATGGTTGTGAAATCAACATAAAAGTTCAATTTCACACATAATTTTATAACAGAACACCGATGAATTCTTCCAACACCCAACAAGATGATGACACAAAATAATATTGTCACGCATTCTGAAGTGAAATATATGTAAGCCTACAGTATAATGGATCATACCAGTATAAGTAAGCGGTTATTAGACTGCAAGAAACGGTTGATTGCATCACTGAATACAAGTGGAGGTGGATTTTTCCTTATTCTCTGCTGTGCTTCTATAACTGTATCATTCAATTCACTGCAACAATAAGTAGTGTATTTTAAGTTGCCATGGTCACACATCGATCAGTTTTATGTACTAAGACTGTTCACTATGCAGGTAGATCTCTAAATGGAAATCAAGCAAAGCCATAAAAGAACAAAATTAATAAGCATCTTTTCGAATCCCTCTATGAAGAAAGCTTATTATTGAGGTTATCCCTCTAATATCATTAGTAACCGAAGAACTATTTCTAGAAAAGTTTACTCGGTTATAAACATCATGCCCAAAACTCCGAAGATTTGAAAGGAAATTTCTCAATTGTCCATTACCTTACAAAGAATTCAGCCCATTGTTGAGCAGTGTGAGTTGTGACATGCTCGAAATTATGGCGATGGCGTTTTTCTCTTTCTTCAGCAGTCATATTTAGAGCTTGGCCTATTGCAGCAGCCACCTCTGTGATATTCCATGGATTTACCAGAATTGCTCCAGCTCCAAGAGACTGAGCAGCCCCAGCAAACTAAAATGCACCAAAAAGGGTACTATATTACAGAGGGCAAACAAAAATGAAAATGTGGATAAAAGATAAACTATTCTAATTAATGATAGTGAGCGTTACAAGCAGAATTTGGACACAAAAGAAGAAACCTTATCACACAGTAAAATAATGCATGCACCTGCTAAACAGAGTAAGAACCTCAGCCGAGAGTAATGAGATAATTTTGGAGCAGACTATTCAAAGTTTGATCAATTGAGAAAAAAAAATAATGGTGCTTTAGGATTGTAGGAACCTCAAACATGTGCATGGGTTTGTTACTTCTCTAGACAATATAAAAACTACTGCGGGTCTAAAAGGAGCATATTGCTTGCCGACATTATGCAAAAGCACTATACTTACTTCACTGAGGATGAGAACTCCTTTTTTGGAATCTTGACATGCCACAAACTCATAGCTTACGAGATTCATCCCATCCCGCAGAGACGTGACTAGAGCTACATCTGATGAGTCAAGAAACAACCAGCCAACAAATTGCTTTAGTTGCATCTTACATCAATAAATTAGTTAATATTACATCGCATCACTTAACAAAACAATCAGAGTACCGAAATTAGAACATAAATTGTGGAGTTTGCAATCTGAATTAGCATGATATAGGTCCTACATATGAAGGAAGGGAAAGTGAAACTGATAACTCTCATGTGTGTGGGTGTGTGTGTATATTTCAGAAAATCTTAAGAAACTTACGAATACTAAAATATATTAACACAATACAAAACTGATCTTGCCCCCTCGATCTGCAACGTTGGTTTCATTGTACAGTAAAAAGTAATGAAGATTATTTACTGTGATCTTATTTCTATCTTTTTATGGTAGAGTTCAATTTTTTCAATAATCAATTCCCTCTATCCAGAAAATGAGAAACTGAAGTAGATAAGCTCCATTCAACTAGCACAGCAAAGGATAGTTGTCAATGTATCAACTCATTTACTTAGAAAATGGGCAGAAAATTTTCAGATAAGAAGGAAAAACACCATAAATAAAAAAATGAAAGAATAACTAGGAAAATATGTCTAGAAGAACTTTCATTACCTGTGACAGCATACAGAGCACACAAGGCATGGAAGTCAAGAGAGCGATCCTGCATGAAAAACAGTGACATGCTTCAGGTACATCAAAAAGTGTACATCTAAATTTCAACGGTTAGAACCTTTCTGCATTAGATATCATAGATGATTTCCATGTCCTTAGAAAAAGCCATAGAAAACTGAGAACACAAAGTAGGGACTTACCTAGTAATGTTAGCACATTCTATATGATAACTTTTAGATGCCGTTTGTATGTTTAGTACATTTAGTGCAATGGACTTGATTTAAATTCCTTTGTCTCAGTTAATAAATTTATAATAGATATTTTCAGTACATAAGGCACTGCAAAAGACGATGAAATATAAACCCAGCTTCAAACGAGAAGTGGGAACTTCCCTACATGCTGGTCTTCCATATGAGATCTTGTGCTGAATTTGTCAAATATTCAGCAAAAGGGAAAATTCAATACTTAAGCCCTATGCATTTATGGATGCAGTTCTAAGAAGCCTTCTAAAGTAAATGCTAACCAGATGGTGAATTGGGACAGCAGTCAAAGTTCCAAATCTTCCATTGATCCGCCCAACGATCTCATGAACTTGGCTTGTAAGCTTCTGATCTATAAAAATCAGAAAAATATAAATTGTATCATATGTCAATATGCGGGAAGCACACACAGATATATGGAAGTAAAAAATGATCAAACTATCTTAAGAACATACATTCAGGAACATCGGTTCTTGTTGGCACAGCAATTTGCAGCAAAACAACCTTATCACGCCAGTATGGGTTTTCCTCCAGAAATTTCTCAAATGCCAGTATCTTTTGCGGGATTCCTTTTATCATATCAAGACGATCCACACCCAGCATTACCTGTACGAATATAAGCTTTGAACTAAATAACCAAAATCTGGAAGTCCATGTGAGATAGGTCAAGCAAATTACTATACAGGTATGAAATCAATTGAGTTGTGTCAATCTCTGTTCAAGACCGAACAACTAAAAGTTTTATCAGATTGGTTGGAAAGTAATTTGCCCATTCTCTCTAAATTTTACAGGTATGATTAGGTAAAAGGACCAAGACCTAACCAACCAGAAAATGTCCATAAATCGCATGGACAGCGGAGCTCGATAACTGAGACACTTTCTAGCACACTTTGCAAACATAGAACTAAGGACAAAGCTGACGAACCTTTCTTCCAGAAAATCTTTCTTTTAATTCTTTAATGTGATCCTTGACTTGAGGAACTTCGAGGGCACGGATGAACCTTTCTGAATCAATCCCTATAGGGAACTTTTACAAAGTATATAGAAACGAACATGTGAGCCATGTGATGATTTACGGTAATTGATAGATCTTTCTTGGCTATTGGCATACATCACAACCACAAAGCGCAAGTTGAATATCAAGAAAAGGAATATCCAATAAAATTCATGAGAACTTACAGCAGCCACACGAGTTAGTCTCCCTTGATCCTCAACTCCTTCAGGAGTACCTTCCAGTCCAAGAATACGGGTGCACGCACTTACAAAATGTCTCGCATAGTCATACGTGTGGAAACTAGAAATAAATAAAACTGATGATGATAAGAAAGTTTAATACATGATAGAGATGATGCAACATGAAATGATCATAATCTATTAGATCAGGTAATAGACTCATAGTAAAAATGCATAGAACCAATAGACGCGAGCAATTGATACAAAGAAAGTCAGACTTTTGGAACATAAAAAGAAACTACAAGAACTTACTAAGATGACTGCAAATTTGCAATAATAATAATTTAAGCAGATTATGAGGAGAATTGGAAGAGAAAGGTAGTTATATACATGATTCAACTACATGCTTTGTTCTTCATGGGTCATTGGTAGTTTGTTGATCAACATACAATTTTTTATGACTAACTCAATAAAATATAATTTGAACACACTAAACACAGTCATATGATGTAACTCTAACACATAAGAGCAGAAGACATAAGAGAAATTGTTAATATGAATCAAAACCTCCATTTTTAATTTGGAGAATACTAGTTCGTTATCCAGCAACTAACATATAAGTATTTTGATCCTAATTAATCTTTTATACAATCTACGAAAAATGCTGAAAATGATTAATTAAAACAGTGCTAAAAAGTATTACCCCACTAAATCAGCAGCCAGAACTGCACGTAACAGTTCAGATCGAGATGGCAAAGTTCGGTGAATTTCAGAAGATGGAAAGGGAGTGTGTAGAAACCACCCAACTTTCATCTCGCTGTTGTAATCCTTCAGACATTTCGGAAGGAACATTAGGTGGTAGTCGTGACACCAAACAACATCACCCTCTTCATAGTGTGTGTGAACAACGTCAGCAAACATTTGGTTCGCCTTTTGGTACGCAGCGAATTGGGACTGAAAACTCCTAGTTGTAGCAAGGCGATCTTCTTGTGGGAGCCCAAGATAGTGGAAAAGAGGCCATAATATATTGTTACAATATCCGTTGTAGTACTGGTGAACAATCTCCTCATCAAGGAAAACAGGTATGCACCTCTGAGTAAAAAATTTGAAAAATGAAAAGTTCAGTAACTACAGTCAAACTAAGCAGCAAGCAATAAAATCAGAATGACCAAACATGCTCTTTGGTTGTCAAATTGTGAAAAAATAAAATAAAATAAAAAATGACTGTCTCACCTTCTCGGCAAGTGCTCTAGTAAGTGCCTTTTGGCCAATCTCGTCCGGCACATTCACGCCTGCCCAACCAATCCACCGCGCTTCGAACTCCTTAACACCTACAAGCGACACTCAATTGCATTAAGGTTTACGCAACAGTAAGAGAACTTAATAAGCAGAACTAAAAAAGGGAGTATACACCATACAGAACAGCAGGCTAAAAAGAGACTCACCCAGAAGAGCGCTGACTAGACCACCCGCGCTTATCTCCAACGACCAAGAGTCCTCACCTGTCCTAACGGCAGAAACCGGAAGCCTATTAGCAACCACCAACAGTCTCTGCTTTATAGGCCTGCCTTCAGGTTTATCCCACCCTTCATTAAGTGCTTGTACAGCTGCTTCTATGTACTGCTCCACGTAGGAAGAAGCCCCCGAGATGTTGTTTTCGGGTGCCTCAATCCCTCGCCAGCCATCGAACCCATCGGCGAAGAAAGGAGCTCTGGTGCTCCTTCTCAGTTCCCTCTCCCTCAAGAGCCTCCCGACACGTGTATCGAGAACTTTCTCGTTATCGACAAACTTGTTCCCAGGCATATGGACGGCTTAAACGTACACAAACTCTAAGCTGAGGTTCAGTGCAGCTCAAGTGTGCCAGAGAGCAATTGTCCTGCATTTTGATTAGCACAAATTGAGAAGTACTCACAAGAAATACTTCCTCGAGTATATCACTAATGATAAAATCATATAAAATACACATGGAAATGAAAAGTTATATCAGTATTATCCAACTTTAATCTATATCTTATTTAGTTTCTTTTCTCACATGGATGTTGATATCAACAGGTAATTTGCGCATATAAAAAATCAAAACTTTGATGAGTAGATAAGGACAGGCAGCGAAAGGGATAACAAAGAAAAGGGGATCCACAGAAGTGAGAAGAGGGGTCTACCATAAAGCATCCAAAGTTGCAGCAGCGTGCGTGTGTTCGTACACAAACAAACACACAGCAATGAGAAAAAATAATAGAGGCCATTTTCACAGCACAACTCCACACAGAAGGAACAGAACAAAATTTGATTGCAGAATCAACCGAGCATGCAGAGAGATTCTCAAGTCAGAATCAAGCAACCAAAATCGCATTTGAATACTAAAACCTCACACATTAATCGCAAGAACCCATACAAATTGCTTACCACAGAGCAGCACCAAATAATTTCCGTAACCAAAAAGTGTGAAAAAAAGTGACTCAAAATAAACACGAGAGTAAAAAACAAAAGGCGTTACACGGAAAACTGAACCACGACGGCTCTCGCCCAAAATCCGCCTCAAAAACCCTACGGAAATCGGAAAATAGCATCGGACGGCGGCGGCGGCGGCGGCGGCGACGGCCAGTGCAGGCTATGTAAAAATCCTCACAGCCATGCAGGGTTTTTCTGAACCGAAACGGAATTTAGGAACTGAATTCAAAAAAAAAATTCAGGACGTGCTCCATATGTATAAGTGGCTTGTGGTTTGAAATTTGAATGAAAATACAGGTGATGATGAGCTTGAAAACCTGGGTGGCGCCATTATTAATAGGTAGGCTAGTGCTTACGCCGTACAGCGCGGCCATAGCTGATACATTTTGTCCCCGTGTGGCGCAAATGGGACATATGTAGCATTCTTTTGCCATTTATAAGGCAGCGCACACAGTTTTGATAGTGACTCACTCACGTACACCATTGATGACCATAGTTGAACCAAAATCGAGGATGGAGATTTTAATGAGAAAAAAAAAA